GGCTGACAATATTAAAGGTAATTTAAGATGCTTTTTAAAACTTATCCTAGTTGTATATCCTGTCCCTTACCGAGAGTATATGTGTATAATGCGTACGCGCGCGCGCACTCGTACACAAATATATATATATATATATATATATATATATATATATATATATATATATATATATATATGACGAATACGTAAAAACATGACACGAAACCCATCCACAGTGACAAGAAAAACGATAAAATTGCCAAGGTTGGAGTGAGACAAAACCCAACAAGCCGATGAGAACGAAATGGACATAAACTTTCCAAAAACAAATTCTGATCTGAAATTATATTATTCGTTAATTCCGAGACACGTTTGCTCGTTATTCTGAGCTTGATTCGCGTAGATAATGTGTGCTTGCTCACGTAGGCCTACATATCAGTCTACACGCGCACAATGGACCATAGAACCTTTACAATTCACAAAAGTTGTTCTATGGAAGATGAAATTTTATTAGAGCAGTGCTTGTGTTGAAAGAAAAAGAAATATATATACATATATATACAATAAAAGAAAATTAAGGCATTTTCATTTCTGTATTGTTGAATTTAGTTGGATTCGTCTAGATGATTCACCTTCCTTGTTCATTTCACATTATATACATAGACAGAGACATACACAATATATGTAATATGCAATATATTTCTTACTAATGCTCTATCTAATAAGATAGAGCATTAGTAAGAAATATATTACTGAAAACAGAGGTAGTGTACGTTTCTGTTTGGGAATATGAACTAAATTGAAAGAGATATATTTACCACTTCGCTTCGGTTAAGCTTGTTTGTTCTAAAAAGGCGCAAGAAATCAATAGATGGCGTTTCTTTAATTCAATTTAAAATATAGGACTGATTTATGTACCGAGACGACGATGTAAAAACAAGAAATGTAACGGAATGTTACTTCTGGCTAAGAAAGATGTCTTTAAACGTAAACTCTCCTGTATCTCTTTTGTGAATTAACCATTTTTTTTTCTTTTTTTACCAAAATCCAATTATATCTCGCACTGTGCCCTGAGTACAAATAAAAGGTTTAAATACATTAATCTGCCCTTCGGACTCTACAAAGCGGAAAAATAGAAAACGAAAGGGGTAGCTCTTCTAAACCGAAGCCAGTTTTTAAACATTCTGAAGAGCATAAAAATTATATGTTTTTACCTCTTCCTTTTCGTGTAAGTTTCATGCTGAAAAACTACAAGTAAAACAACAACGGGAGAATGAGAAAACAAATAATATCCAAATTACAAGTAAAACAACCAAGGAAAGAACAAGAATAATGCCATAAGCCTGTATTTTCTTGTCCTTCCACTTCGCTGATCTACTTGCAGGTCTGACCCAATTAATTTTCTTAAAGCCAGACGCAGAAATAAAGGCATATATGTCTATATATATATATATAATATATATATATATATATATATATATATATATATATATATATATATATATATATATATATATATATATATATCCCATCCCTTTTCTAATTGCTCTTCCTTTACGCTGATGCAGCTCTAAGAGGAAAGTGTACTCGTACTTATATATGATATTACCGCGTACTTTGTAAAGCAAATGTGCCCTTACTATCATCACTGATTTGGGAAAGTCAGCAAATACTTATCTTGGGTATGGGCATGTTTGCTTTCCGAATATATTTCAATTCAGTAAAATCACTGAAGTTTGGATTACAGAGCGCTTATAGACATGTAAGGATGGTAAAACGTTTATAGTGACTTTATTTTAATATATTATTGATATACGCTTGAAATTGAACACACACACGCACGCACACACACACATATATGTATATATGTATGTAAGTATATATGTGTGTATGTGTATATATACATATATACACGTGTGTGTATGTGTGTTTGTATACGCACCGCACTGTATTTATGTGTATATATATACACAGATACACACATATACACACACACATATATATGTGTGTATATATATATTAATATAATATATATATATATATATATAATATATATATAATATATATGCATGAATGTGTGTACCTGTGTATGTATGTATACATGTTTGTATACGTATATAAATGTGTACACATCTATCTCTATACGCAGACCCTTCGACACACAAATGCCAAGTTCTCCTTCTTGTCTCGAGACGCGATTCATCTGCTCATTTGTTCTCTGGGTTTATGCGGCGTCACTCCGGCTGCCTTATTCTGCGGACTTTCACATCCCGAGAAAGCATTACGTGTCGTCTCCTGCCTTGTCCGCATCGCCACGTAGCCGCAAATCCTAAGACACTGCGCCGGGAGGATGACTCAGGTAAAGTGCTTCATTGATCACTTACGTACATACTCTCAGACATACACATATACACATCGCATAGATATGTGCGTGTTTTTATGTATATATATACATACATACATACATGTATGATATATATATATATATAATATATATAATATATATATATGATGCCTTGTGTGTGTGTGTATGTGTGTCTGTGTGTGTATATATGTCTGTGTATGTGTGTGTAGAATATCAACTTTGTGTTCTTTGGTAATAAAATCTAACATTTCCATTACACAAACCACTCATTAGTGTAAGTGGAACACCCATTTGAAGGATTAAACACTGAACATGCAAAACAAGATAAGTGAACCTTTAGAACGCGGAAGCAGATGCCAACAACTCTTTATTTATTATGTACCCTTCTACAGTTTCTCAGCATTCCTATTTTATTTTATTTAGATTGATGGTACGTGTTTCCTTGCTTCAAGTCTGCCCATAACATTTCAGTTTTAATTAGGTTAGGGCATTAGGTTAAGCATAACGTAAAAGGTTATGGTTTTGACAAATTATCTTTAAGCAAGTCTAAAGTTTCATATTTGTGCCCAAAAAATAACCAAATAACACCAGTAGTATAGTGATTCTTGTCGAAAGTCAGACGAAAGAAGTCTTACTCTTTTTTAAGGAGGTTGAAACAATTTGGGTTCAATCCTGATCCAAATTAGAATATAACCGTTACGCTCTAAATGATTCTGGAGCTTCGTCTGTAGTTAGTGGATCGCTTAAACCTTACATCGAACTCAAAAAGACATTCGACTCGTTGCATCGGAAGGCGATAGATTGGCCCAAGAAACCATGAAATAGATTAACATTTTCGGGAAGTGGGTACCTTTGCAGAGGAACCAAGTTATTTGTCTTGAGGGCCCTAATGCTGCAGTTTTTTTTCTTCTCTCTCTCTGAATGGTAGCGATACTTAGGACTCTATCCAGCTCCATGGAATCTTGTCTTGGTGCCCTCTGCAATTGGCCCTTGCGTCTGGACCACATTTCCAATCCCAACAGCTGAATAGTAAGAACGGCATAGGACCTGTTACTTGCAGAATCTAGGATCGCCAATTCACGCTACAGGGACACTTGGCTTGACTTCCTAAGGATGAACACGCCCTCTAGATGCACACACACACACACACACACACACACACCACACACACACACACACACACACACACACACACACACACACACACACACACACACACACACACACACACACACACACACACACACACACATATATATATATATATATATATATATATATATATATATATATATATATGTGTGTGTGTGTGTGTGTGTGTGTGTGTATGTGTGTGTGTGTGTGTGATCTAGATGTTCATCCTTAGTCCTTATATGTACATATACATATGTGTGTGTGTGCCAGTGTGTGTATATATATAAATACATACATATATACCTATGTGTATAGGTATACACACACACACACACAACACACAACACACACACACACACACACACACACACACACACACACACACACACACACACACACACACACACACACACACACACACACACACACACACACACACACACACACACACACACCACACACACACACACACACAAACATATATATATATATATATATATATATATATATATATATATATATATATATATATATATATATATATATTATATATATATATATATATGCATATATATGTATGTGTGCGTGTAAACACTGACAGATAGATGGATAGGTAAATAGAGAAGCAGATCGATCGGTAGATAGATAAAGATATGTGCCAGTTGTTATCAAACTTCTCGGTGCTGTCATGATACCCAATTCGGTGAAGTGAAAGGAAAGACATTTGATTTTTTTCATGCGCTTCACATGTAAGAAATTAATGTAAACTATGTGATCCTGATAGATATATGTTTTATAAACTTATGCGTTATTAAGTAATGCATTTAATTTATGCATTAATTCACCAATTTCTTATTTTTCATTATTTATCAATTTACTCCAAGGAGCTACTAATTTCATTAAGTGTCTCGTTATCTCCCAGAACGCCTTCATCATCCCCAGTTTGAGAGCCATTTATATATATAGATAGATGAATTGGTTAATAGATTTCAAGTTTGCGTGTGTGTGTGTGTGTGAATTTCTGTGTGTGTGTCTGCGTGTGCGTGTGCATGTGTTTGAGTGTATTTGAGTAGAATTTAAACAGGTGAATATCAAGTCAATGCACCAAGATATCTACCGGGTAATGTAAACAGTTATGTAGGTAGGTAAATGCAAATTAATATAGGCAGATTAAACCGGATATACTTACAGTGTCCATGATAGCATTTGTGTTTGAGTATATTTAGGTATGAATTTTGTAGTTTCTTGATATTGCTTTGTTGCATATAGATGTTTGAAATCTATTCTGCATTTGGAAATAATATTTTCGTTTTATGTCTCAAAACATGCACTAACATCCTTTTAAAACCTAGTGGGAAAAAAAAGCTGAGTCAACGAACATCACGTGATATTTCCTCCGCGGTTACTCACCAAACCTAAAACATACATAATTTCACCAATTTCTTTTTTTTAAACTTCAAAACATATCCAATCTAACAAGTAAATGTCCCGAATATATCCTCCACTGAATATTTCGCCGACGTTCGAATGTGGCGGCGGAGGCGAGGCTGACTCGGGACGGCCAAGCGACGTGTCTCCGTGTCTGTGCGTAAGCGACCCTCAGCCCGAGCAGACGACGTCTTCCTGCAGGAGATAAAATGACTGAAAATTCCCAACCTTCCAGTGATCGGGTGAGATTTCTTGTCGTGTTGAGATCGCTCGTCGTCTTTGCTGTCGTTGTGGCTGGTTGGATCTGGAGATAGGGTCGTGTGGAGGCCTCCGGGAGCGAAGGGGTATTGGGGTCCGTCAGGAGAGTGATGCGGCCCAAGGAAACAACTCATGATGTTATTAAGCCTTTGAGGGGGTTTCCTCTCACTGGATGTCTTTATTTCCCGACAGTGACGTGGGTTTCCTTTCCTGAGATCTACGAGGCTTCCAAAATGGATTATTTTCAGCCGGATTTGGGGAAAATAATTGGTCCATTGAGTCCTCGGCCATTAATCCCAAGTCACGGCGGAAATCAGGCGTGGATTTCATTTTATAATTTATTTTATTTCATTTTTTCTTCTCGGAGAGAGAGAAAAAAATCGTTGTAGGTTTTAGTGATTTTAGAGAGCGTTTGAGATGATTTTCGAGAATAGTAAATTGTAGGAATAGGAAGAAAGACATTCGTCATTAAAAACATATGAAACACATCCATTATTTGTAAAACAGTCTGCACAAAGTATAGGGTTAATAGATTATGTTGTTTAAGGATCAGCACATTAGGTGATGCCGTGGTTTCTAGAGATTAGCACATAACAGATCTTGTAACCCCTCCTGCACTTTGTGCATAACAGATCTTATAGACCCTCCTGCTCTTTGTGCTTTGGAGGTGGTCATCAAACCTCCACCACATGATTTTCTTATTTAAGAAAGAGGTTTTATTCCTTTATATATTTTTGTCTTTGAATACGGAATTAGGCCAAGCTCTCTTTTGCCAGAATATAAGTGGTGGTGATTTGTTGATCCTTACCAGAATGGGAAGTGTGATGTGTGTTCTGCTCTGGTTGATTGAACCGATTTGGGTAATTGGAATAGCTTCACATAACAGATGGTGGAAATTTTGATATCCTTGGATTTGTCAGTATACTGTCCAAATATTTTAAGATTGTACTACAGACACACCCCATACCCACAATCTTGGCCCTGATAACAGCAACATGTGTAGACAGAGGGAAATGGACACCACCATCTTATAAAGCAGAAAAAATATAATAGGATTTCATATAGTTTAAGCTGCAGTGGTCTCGTATTTACAGGTAAATAAAAAAAAAATGTACACCAGCATATATATCCCATCATTAATGTAACGTATATCCTGGCATATAGGTATTAATTTTTTGAAAAACTGGGTTGCCATATATCCAATTTGTTGTTAATACAACACAGAGCAACGTATAGAGATAGAGAGAAATGGACACTGCCATCTTATAGAACATAGAAAATAGTCTCGAACAACACAGATACAACTGCTGCCTCATATTTACCACAAAATGACACAAAATATCTATTGCATATCACTACTCAGCAACTGTCCATAACACCCCCATACAGCCAGAGTTCTTTAATATCCGTATTCTGTTAGTTGGCACGAAGTGCTAATAAAGGGGGGTACAAAGGAGCTTGCACCCCTCTTTAGGAAATAAATAGAAGGTAGGAAAGATAAGGTTTGGAGTGAGCATGAGAAAGACTTAGCATCATTCATTCTTGCATGTTGGTTGTCCATTCTACTCTGCCGTGAATACATGGAAGATTCTTTGGCTTCCATTGAAGGGGTTAGGGGCTTCATTAGACAATATAGTAAGTGATTCTGTATATTATTCATATTTTACCCTGTAATTTTCCTGTTATCTTTCATACCTTCCCCTGCTATCAGGGCCAAGATTATTGCTAATTGGGGAGGGGGGGGGAATTCTGTGGCATAGTTTTGATATACATAGATAATAGACAGTGATTGTAGTCTATTGGTACCATAATTGTTGTGATCAGTTATGTGAAGTTATTAAAAAATAATAAAATCTTATTTGGTGATTGTTACCAACAGGACCCTATTGAGTGATAGCCATGGCCTGTGTACCTTTCATGTATCGGCAAGAGCATCTATATATGTCGATTCTGGGAAGAGAGAGCTTGAACAATTTCTTATGATTATAATCACTAGGGAGGTCTTTGGGATTTACCATGCTAGATTAGATATGATGGAAGAAATTTGTTGTTAACTGTACTGACCAGCTCAAAACTGATGATCTCCACTTGAGTCATTGCAAGTGTTTATAGTTGATTGCACAGTTATCCTTTTCTTTTACCAATTAATTATTATGGGAATGCTTATCACTGCAGTACAGTTATTTTGTATGTAATTTTTGATTGTAGAGATAGTGCTGATAACTTCCCTTTCAAGTTAGTAGGTGGAGGTAGATTTTGCAGACAAAAAATGATTTCTGTGGGAGCAAGCTTGCATCTAGCTGTTTGAAAAATGTGAATTGAGAATAATTTTGAAGTTTCTCAGCCAGGCCATTTCTTGATCTTCAGAAAGGGTGTGAAGAATTTCATTTGCATTGACTTTTTAGATTAGGGATGTAGGGTCATACTTGATTCTCCTTAGCTGACGTCAAAGTTGGCTGTTAATATAGTATGAAATTTCAGTATTCCAGGGGACTTAGCCTCCTCCTTGGTGCATGGATTGTGTGATTGATATCCAAGTGATGATATATGTTGAGAGATAGAGAAAGAGAGAGAGATTCTATTACAGCCCGCCCCATATACTATCTGCATATAAACTCATAAATTTATGTATTGCTGAGTTTAACTCAGATTTTTGTGAAATTTACTTTTTTACCTTTTTAACCCATTATCACATATTTTGAAGCCGAAAATAAAAGATTCCGGGCAGCTACAAAATTGGCGCGCAGGGCTGGCCCAGACTCTACCCGCCGCTGCTACAGAGTGCGAGCCCTGATACAGCGTCACACTGGCGGGACGCCCGGCAATATTTTTTCGGGTGTCTCATATGTGGGACACCAGTTGTTAGTGGGTTAATATCTTTCTCAGACTTTGGGCCAGATTTCTATTGAATACAATTTTAACATTTTTCTTTTAATATCTGATGTCAATTGCTTTAAATCAAAAATATTTATCTGGTATCTGAAGTGCTTGCTTTTCAAGTCCTATAAATTTGATGTTTCACATTTTCAAGACACTAACACTCCCATATGAGAAAAGAATAAGATAGCTCATAGCTTTGCCGGTCAATGAATCTCCAAGCTTCGCCCTAAAGTTGATTTTTTTATAATTAGCCCACCAGGCTAGTAAATTGAGTTTTTTACTTGCCTGCAGTGTTTCACTAGCCCCAATATTAGATTTAACACTAGATTAATCAAACACTACTTCTTTGAATTTGATTAAGAAATCATCAATAGATTTAATGTAACTTCTTGCTCTAACAAGTTCTAGGTCTACTCGGCTGTCAGTGTGCTGCATGCCCGATTTGCTGTTGTCTACTTTCTACTAGTCTACCGGGCTAGCTAAGTAGTGTATTTAACTGGCCTGCCACTGGTTTTACTAGACAATGACCATCGGGCTAGGGCTAAGGTTGAGCCCTGATCTCAAAAACTTTTGAATCACATTAAATTACACACACACAAAGAAAGTGCCGCCTAACTTAAATGGAATATTTTGTTGTTGGTTACCATTATAAGAAGTCACTAACCCTTATGGAATGACTAATCTGTCAAGAATATCTGAGGAAAAGTTTTGTAAATGAACCATTTGGCAGTGGAAGCAGTTCTTTGATTAATGACCAATGATGTTAACCCTTTGTTACCAGGATGGTATGTATATACATGCCATGTCCACTGTAATTTAGCCACCAAGTGTCAGTTGGTAGTCCTACTTGTCTCACCTTTTTAACTTTTTTCTTAATTTTTAAAAAGATCCTTTTTTATTCTCATTGCTAACAGTTTTGTTAATATTGTGATAGTCATAATGTCAACAATGATAATTATCATCTGTATTACAAGGATTATGAAGATATTTTTCTAAAAAATTCAAGCAGTGGGGAAATATGTTGGTCACATGTGGGGCCACTGATTAACTCATTGGTGGCTGAGAATTCGTGTGCAAACAAATTCACAAAACAAAGCTGCACCTGGCAGGAGGGGTTTGAATTATTTTCTACTGATAATAGCCTTATCTAGGGATTAAGCTCTCAGAACAAAAAGCATTTATTATCAATGGTTCTTTCAGGATGCTTGTCTGAAGGATTATACTTCATGGTAGTGGGGCATCATTTTTAGTACACCTTTGATTAGAAGTTTCAAGTTTGGCGACGGGTTAGAACTGTACCCTGATCCTTGAGTAACAATGACTGTACCAGGTTTACCTATCCATACCAGTACGCTGTGTTTCACACTTGTCTTTATTGCAAGCTTTCATGCCTTGCATCAAAATTTTCCGGATTTTCTTTTCTAGTGTTTATTCAGAATTCAATCTTGAAGAAGTATGAAATAGAATTTGCTTACCAGATCATATTTTAAAATTATCTGTATATGGTTATTATCTATGATTTTTTATATTTTATAATCTGATTGTATCAGGGAGTTTAACTTGTTGATGCATATATACATGTACTGTCCATATGATTTTAGTTTATTTCATTTTGTGAATGAACAGATGGCTCCACAAGGGCTTAATTATTTATTAGGCCAAACTGATTTCACTTGTCTATCTTGTTCCTTGAATTATTAATGTTCATAATGTCCTAATAATGATGCCAATGATGGTAATGACAACATTGATAACTGATGATGGTAAGAGAAACAAAAAACTTTTCCCCAAAAAACAGAAGGGAATGGGATAAACAGGTGAAGTCAGGAAGATCTAATGATAGAATCTAGAGACAATAGAATTGAAGCTGCAAAAAAGTACAGCAGCTTTGCTTGTGAATTACACCATTGGATTCAAAGTCTGGCTGGGAATTTAAAGATTGGATTTAATTATTCTTCTTTTTCTTATTCTTCTTTTATTGTTATTGAGTCTGATTCCAGTAAGAGTTTATGCTATATGATTAATTTGCACAAGCAGTTAGATCAACATGTGTACAAATCAGATAAAGTTGATAGATTTAATAACACTGATGAGTGATATGCTTTTGCCTGAAATGTGTGCTAAGTATTGACATTAGATAACCTTTTCAAATGTACAGTTGCGGAATTATATTTCAGTACACTTGCTGGGTCCTACTTTTGTACAACTGGCAACCAATCAAAGTAAACATAGCGTTAATAGTATTTTTATGAATGAGGCTAAAATTCTAGGTAGTTTGTAACAAAGTGTGTGATTGGTTGAATATAGATAACAGCACTGGGGAACTATTATTTCAAAGCTAATGTATAAAAAGTAATAAAAAGAGATTTTGATGTAAAGGCTTGACATGCTAATTTCATCTACACTTACACATATGCTGTATTACACTGCATTTCATTAGCACATGTATTGGGAGTGGGTTCTCCTTGAAACCACCTAGCTAGTAGTTGCTAGAGTTGAAACAAGCAAACAAATATTTTCTCGCAAAGGTGTTCAAATGTGGATGTGACTCCTCAAAGAATCGCCAAGACTTATGGCATAATGATAGCTGATTTTACATACACTTTCGTAACTTACCACCAAGCATGACTTCGGATTTTCATAAATTTTCAATCAAGTGATTGATTCAGGCAAAAAAGGATTTTCAAACAATTATTCACTCTATTAGTTTGATTAGCCTCTACTAGATGGTGCAGCCACCATAAGCATTTACAAAGGTCTCAATGAGTTTGCCAGGATTTTTCACTGATATGTCTAATGTTGAAAGAAAGTAAATGCCGCCTCCCACCATAAGTGTTGCCATTTTGATAAGAGCAATTAGCATTTGAAGAATATCACCCCTACAAAGTCAACAATAACTAATATTTTGTTGAAGAAAAAGATAGATCAAATGGCTTGCTTAGTTTCCAAAAATATTCATTAATACACTTGTTGGTTATTTATATTCGACCAGTCACACTCCTTGTTACAAACTACCTAGAGTTTTAGCTTCATTCTTAAAAATACCATTTATGCTATATTTACTTTGATTGGTTGCCAGATGTATAAAAGTAGGACCCAGCAAGTGTACTGAAATATAATTCCGCAACTGTACATGTAAAAATAATGTGTGTGTTTATATATATGTATGTATATACAAGTTTATATATGCATCTATGTATGTTGTATATATATGCATATATGCTTACATGTGTATGTATGTATTTGTATGTATATATGTGTATATGTATGTATATAAAAATGCAAATTGCATATACATATATTCATACATAAAGTAATGGATGGAAGGTAATAAGGTAATGAAAACTAAGAATTGACGATCCACAGGGGGAGCTTGTGGCTGCAGGTGAAGGCGAGGGTGAAGGTGACCAGCAAGTGGCATCAGAATCAGATGCCGCAGCCGCGCAAAATGCCCAGCAGGCTCGCCAGCCCACGGCTGGAGAGTCTTTCATGTCAATAACCAAATCTCTCATCATCAGAGCCATAATCATCTACTTCATCACATCATTCTTCAGGTAAGAGTTTCTTGTGCTGTTTCATATTGGAAGGGAGACTCAGCTCATGATGATTATGTTGATATATTGCATGGTGTATAATTGGTTAACATTTTCATATCTATGCTTCTTGTTTGAAGGGAGAGACCATTAATGATGATGATATATTGCATGGTTTATAATTGGTTAACATTTTCATATTTATGCATAATCTTCTTTTCCATAGACGACCACAACAGCCAACTGGACCTCAGGGAGGACCTGAAGGACAGCAAGTGACACGCGCTCGCACACCAGCCCTAAATCTATTCCAAGATGGTGATAATCTGGACCTATATGTGTATATATCTGAATTAGAAACATTCTCGGACTTTGACGATCCAGAATCTTTAGTGTGGGTAAAAGAAGATATAGTTTATGGAGACTGGACTTCGGGGCCTGACAGTGACGGCACCTACTATCATTCTCTGAAAATCCCCACTACAGAGGTAAGAGTACTTTGGTAAAGGATTGTGAGCTGTCTCATCATACACCAGTCATTAATTGTATATATATACTTGTATACTTGTATATATATACACACATTTGCATGTGAGGTCTCATGTAAGAGTGAGTGAGTTAGTGATTCACTGTGATGCATGTCAGTGAAAGGTTTAGTTCAAGTGTTGCAAAATTTTGCTATCATATACTGGAGTGTAACCAATTAGGGATGTTAGCAGACAATTAAATATATGTAGTTGTTATAAATGAAATTGTTAATTATTTCCGTCAGTAATAATAGAATCTCTGAACTTTCATTTTTATTATTTTTTATCATTATGATAAATGCTTTATATCATGATCAGTAGATTTATTATGATTTATGATAAGCATCATTTGTGTAGACGATTGTTAACCAGATTACTATCATGATTTTTTGTTTTGTTTTTTCAGAATTTACGAAACAATGGGTCATTATTCGTCCATGTATATTTTGTAAAAAGTGGGTTTTCTCCAAACCCAGAAGCTGGAGAAGGCCTATACAATAGGAAATACACAACTTACAATTCTCAAAGACTCAACAAATATAAGCGTCGCCGATACAGGAAAACTAGTAACTTGATCACTGGAGAAACTGAATTATCACAGGAGGAAATCATGGTAAGTTGATGCTAAGGCTACCATTTCTATTTGAATATTTGTTGCTAGGTGTTCTTGGTTAGAGAAAATGTTTAGTCTTGTGATTTGTAGCTCTTTACAAAGGTAACGTACATGTATCTTGTATTTATTTATTTATTTATTCTATGCTTTCTCCATATTTAATTGCCCCTTTTTTATGTAATACTAATGTTGAAAAAGATTACATGAATGTTGATGATTACCATTTTTCTAGAGTTCGAAGTGTGTGAATGACATGCATCTATTCTGAATTGAAAGGATTAATTTCAGCTAAGATTGTAGTAGGTCTTCTATTTGTAATTAGTAATGACATTGCACAGGAATAAGGTAATTTTACACTTCCCTTCAAATATTTTTAGAATTTAAATAGATTTTTGTGTAGAGAACAAAAGATATTTATTATCAAAAACAAAATCATAAAAAAAAATCCAGCTGATAATTCTTGCATAGAGATTTTGATTTCTGTGAGTGGGTTATTTCTCATGTCGAGGGGCATGTGGTGTAATTACAATAATTCTTTATGATACAAAACAAATCTTTATTATCTGCAGAAAGCTGAGACCATGAAAGAAGAAATTATTTCCCACTGGCATCCAAACATAACTATCAATATTGTGCACGATTTCACACAATGGACCCAAGGTGCTGTACCTCCTCCTCTTGATGAGTATGTACAGTTCACACCCGCAGCAGATAGGTATGTAATGCTCTTTTATTTATTTTTTTTATGTTACATTCAAGTCTTAAGTAAATTGCCGCATAAGAGAAAACTATGGTATCATTTGTATTTAAAGTAGAGTTCTATGTAGTTATGTATTGATATATATAAAAGTAAGTGATACACAGTGTTAAGGATCTTGTGGTATTTGGTACATGAATTCAGTCTTCTTTTGATTTAAAAAATTATATATTTTTTATTATCCCAAGAGCTTTTTTTAGCTTTTTTAAAAGTTTTATTTCCAAATTATAAAAAATTGCAATCTTTCACCATTTTGATTTGTTTCATAAAAATGTGCTAATTGGTTTACATGTAAGAAAAAAATGTTTATTGAAAATCTTGCTGTCTAGTTTTGCAGTAATTAGGGTATAAAAACAGGTATAGTTAGTATGATTGGTACTTAGTAGTTAAAGTGGTACTTTAGCTTATATAGGTAATGCTTGATATGAATAATTCTGCGTGAATATATTTCCCAGAACCTGTGATATAGTTCATTGGGCAGTTTATTACATCATTTTGTACATGTTTTTCTGTTAGTTGCAGCTAATGTATGTCCTGCATTCCAGATATAAACCTATCACATTCCTGAACACCTACTGGAACCTGGTGAGAGATTACCGACCCATCAACACCACCACAGAGACACTGGACCTGACTGTCACTTTCCAACCCCTCTCACTGTTCAAGTGGCAGCTCTATGCAGCCCAAGCCATGAAGAGCAGGTATGAGTGCCACTTAGATTTTCAGGAGGAGCAGGAGGAGGTGGATATGCAATTGTTTGATGAGGCAAAATGGGCAGGGTTAGCAGAGAATGAGTGTCCAGCTTTTGAGTTAGTTCAGGAATGAGGAAAGTGAAGAGGTCGTGAACTTGGTTTTGTTTATTGTGTGGCCTTTCTCATGTGTCTTCATTCAGGTTTTGTGCGCTTTTTATTCCAAGGGAAGATTGAAGGAATTCTTGCTTTTTATGTTTTATGAGTGAATGGTTTGTTACCGAGTGTTCTAAGAAATAGAACTCACTTTTTTTATTTCTTTCCAAAGAATGAAACTTAAGAGATCCAAGATTAAGAGGTCTTAAAAGTCAGCTTTATCTTTTTCCTTCTATGGGTAATGGAAAATACACTGGCAATGATAAAGTCAACATCAGTTATCACAGCTGAAGAATTCAGCTTGTAACTTATGCTAGGCTAAGAATACCAATAATATTATGGGTTTACCACTTCCTTTGAGAAACAATACAAAAGTTTGGTTAATGGATTGGTGGCAGTTGATTGATTGCTAAGACACAGTTTTGGTATATACTTCCTTTTATATTTGTATCTGTTCATTCTTGTATGTCAGTTGACTCTTTGGATATTTTAGTAATTTTTGCACTTTTGCACTTTATTTTGATTTTTTAACAGTATAGCTTTTTGTATGATGAAGCATTTTTTAAAATTGATTTGCTCTTCAAAGAGATTTAGCCAGATTGTTAAAATTATGTGAGCCCCAACCCAATGAACATTCACTATAAGGACATGCTTTTACATAGAAATAAATGTATATCTAACATATAGGTAGATAAATGTGTATACATCTGATTGACTGATTTGCATTCATTTCTGTATAAATGCATGTCTGTATTTATGAATATTCATTGGGTCAGGCCTCGCACGTTCTTGACAAACTGTCTAGTCTACCTAAATTGGTTGTGGTGAGTGGGGATCTAGTCAATAACCCACCCTTCCCCATCTTTAGATTTTCATCTGTTAAAATGGTCATTTAAAAAGGTTGGACTATAAATACTTTCAAATTTCTCATGTAACCACTGGGAATAGGAAAAAAATAATAATGATAAAATGAATAGATAAATAATAGCCTTTCTAGTGATATAATTTCTTTTGTGTATATATTTCTTTTGACTTGTACCTGCTTTATCTGTCTTCTTGTCTCATCTACCTTTCTGATCCATCTATCTTATTTTTCTGCAAGTGTATGGGCATGCTCATGGATGGGAATGTTTGTTTGTGCTTATTGTTTCTTCCTTGTCTTTGTTATTATTCTTTCTTCTCCTTGAAAACTTTGTAGTAGTCTCTGGAGGCCAGTACAAATATCCTTAAAGAATTTCTTGGTGGTTTCTCAGGTTTCTGGTGATTTTCTTCAACTTTTTCATTTCATTTATTGGACACTTATCTTTCTTCAGTTATTTTCATGCTTTATCTCATTGTTGCTTGCTTTGTTGGTAGTATGTATTATTGATTTTGCAGTCTGTTATCTGGTGATTGGGTCATATGCACAAGCTATTTCTTTGAACTGTTAGAATGTCTCAATAAAATGCTACTTCTTTCATTCTGCCTTTGCACTTATTCCTCTGCTTTCGGTGTATCTTTCGTTTACTTTTCAGAATGATTTATAGTGATTTATGTAAAAGTGATTTGATTGATTATTTTTTGTTTATTTATTTTGTTATGCTTGGCCAGTGAAGAGAAAAGTAAAGGAATGTTATCAGAAGGAAGTAGGTTAAATCCTGTAGTCATTTCAATGCACATATATGTCTGACTTTTCTAACAAAAAAAAAAAAAAAAAAAAAAAAAAAAAAAAAAAAAAAAAATGATATCGTTAGCATTGTTCATATAGATTGTTTTGATAATGGTAAACTGATTCTGCAAGTAAAAGGAATCCTATGGGGATGTCCAAGGTCCAGGTGCAAAAATAGGGAGATTTTTCATGAAATATCTTGCATTAGTTTTTGACAAAATTGTCTGAACAATAGAAAGTTGAAAATATATGGTAACTTGATTACACCCCGAAATTTATCGTAGATGGTCGTGAAGGAGATGTGGATGCTGCTGACTGCTTATTGCTGACATACACTTGCTTTATGATACTGTGCTCTTTTGTGTATTGATACATGCTTCCAAAAGTAACTAGTTTTAGAATAGAAACAAAATGTTGCATTCTTTTGCTTATCACAAAAAAACATAATACATATATATGTATACATAAACATAGTACTTATATAAATATATATTCATATTCATACATGTAAGTATTACAGAATATATAGAAATATAAATGTGATTGTGTGTATGTACAAATGTTTGTATCTCACAATCTATCCAGCTATTTAGTTACACACACATACGTGAGTATAAAGATAGAAGTTCCCTTAAGGTCTGGAACAAAAAATTTAAAGATCATTCATGAATCTAGTCATATAGGAGCCATTTGTAAGTTTGGTTCTCAGGATTTATTCCCCTCTGCAACCTCCTTCCCCATTTTAGGCAAGAACAGTCCTTCTTTCAATGTGTACTTAGAGGTTTTGATGTGTAATGTGGTTGTACCTATTCAGTCAACAGTATCCTCACTTTTCACTAAGGAATAGAGGAATGTTTGCCTGTGTCCAAGTCTTTGTATCTTCATGTAAGTATGTGTGTGTGTGCCTGCATGTATTTGTGTATGTGTGTGTTTGTGTGTGTGTGTATGTCTGGGAATGTGTGTATGTTTGTATGTGTGTGTGCTTGCATATGTGTATGTGTTTGCATGTATGCATGTTTGTGTGCCTGCCAGCATATAATTATGTGTGTGTGCATTTGTTTTTTGAGGGATGTTTGTCGGTCAACCTGTCACCCTGTCATTGTGTTTATGCGAGTGCACACACATGCCTAAAGTATGTAGAAGTCTATATTATGTATGTACATCAGGATCTATCAATATATACATAAAATTTAACAACACCTGGCATAACTATAGATATAAGCATACGTGAATATAGATATACATGTAAATATGGCTGGTGGACAGATGGCTGAAGAGTTATTTCTGATCAGATGAACATATAGATGAATAGAGATGGATGGAGTTGTTAGACAACACAGGTGGATTAATTTCCCCTTATAGCTTCAAGGATACAATCATTTTAAGGATCCTAGCTAAAGAAATTGTAGACAAAACTAGGAAGGGAAGAGCAGGAAAGCATAAGAAAATGTTAAAGGCCATTTTGCTTTATTGCATATTCAAGGTATAACTTTCTTGTTAAAGCAGTATATTGAAAGGGCCTTTGGAATATTCTTGTTTCCAGTTCTACCTTTTGTTTTTATATTTACATACTATCTCATGAACAGGAAAAGACCCACAATAATCAGTGAAATTAAATTGAAACTTTAAACTTGTCAAGAGTTCTTCAGAACAAAAAATGGATCCTTTTCAGTCTAATGAGGAACTCTTGATTTCAAAACATGATTTAATTTCACTTTTTATTGTGGCTGTTTTCCTATTCAACCTATGTACTTGTTACTGTCTTTGTCCTTGTTCATACCATTTCATGATTTGATAAAGGTGTAGCATCAAATCACTTATGTCTTGAATCCACATATGTACTCATGTGCACTCACACTCCTACTCACATGCGCACACACGCACACGCACACGCACATGCACATACATACATACACGCACACACACACACACTTGCGCACACACACTCGCGCTCACACACACACTCGTGCACACACACACACACACACACACACACACACACACACACACACACACACACACACACACACACACACACACACACAACACACACACACACACACACACACAAACACAAACACACAAACACTCTCACTTTCACACACACTTTCACTCTCACACATACTCTCACTCACTCACTCGCACATGCACACACATACTCACATACACACACACACTTGCACACTCACTCACACACACACACACACACACACACACACACACACACACACACACACACACACACACACACACACACACACACACACACACACACACACACACACACACACACACACACTCACACTGACACACACACTCATGCACTGACACACACACACACACACACACACACTCACACTCCACTCTCACTCTCTCTCTCTCTCTCTCTCTCTCTCTCTCTCACTCTCACTCTCACTCTCACTCTCACTCTCACTCTCACTCTCACTCTCACTCTCACTCTCACACTCTCACACTCTCACTCTTCACTCTCTCACTCTCTCACTCTCTCACTCTCTCACTCTCTCACTCTCTCACTCTCTCACTCTCTCACTCTCTCACTCTCACTCTCTCACTCTCTCACTCTCTCACTCTCTCACTCTCACTCTCTCACTCACTCTCTCACTCTCTCACTCTCACTCTCTCACTCTCTCACTCTCTCACTCTCTCTCTCTCTCTCTCTCTCTCTCTCTCTCTCTCTCACTCTCACTCTCTCACTCTCACTCTCTCACTCTCTCACTCTCAACTCACTCTCTCACTCACTCACTATTTTTTAGAGCTGTTGACCAAAAACTATATTATGAGACTTAAAAATATTATAGCCATTTTACAGCATCCTGGGGGAATGGTAGTGTAGTTTGCTCTGTCATTACCTGAATATATAAGTATGGTGTGCATGTCTTATATTGCTGTATAGATACTCAAAAAAAATATTCAGCCATTTTTGCCTGTTTACAAGATGCATGTTGTTCACTCCCTGAAAAATGTGAATGCAGAACACCTATATCATAGAATTAAGTCTTGAAGCTAAGAACCAGAGTGAATTGTAGTCCAATGTCCATCAAACAGTATAATCATTCTCTGATAGAGATTGATAACACTCTTGTATGAGTACCAAACAGAAAGACCTTACAAGTAGAAGAATTATGATAGACATAGAAAAGGGGCTAGGATTATGGCCATTAGCCTACTAAGCTCTGAACATAACGGGCACTTTAACCCACTTATGACGAGTGTCCCACATGAGACACCTGGAAAAGTAAGCATTTCCGGGGGTCCTGCCAGTGAGACGCCAGAATAGAGCTTACGCTCTGATTTTGTCGTTCATGGCGGGGAGAGCATGGGCAAGTTGCCGGACTCGCCCGTGTGCTGATTTTGAAGTCGCCCAGAAAATATTATTTTCGGCTTATAAATGTATTGTCGCTAGTGGGTTAACATTTCAGTGTACCATATGGTCAACATTTGCTTTGAGCAGAAAGAAAGCAAAGCAGTGATGGTTATTAGCCCTAGTTATCCAGGATATTATCATGTGGCATCACAGCAGTTCCACAGTTTAGAATTTGAAGATATGTGGAGGGGACCAGAAGAGATTTTTTCTGATTAAGATTTTTCTTTCTTATAGATAATTGCCAAACACATAATTATGCATGTACTTATAATTTGGTATGTATATATCTTCAGATGTATTTGTATGGACACACAAATGTAAGTATTAGCAGAATTACAAATACATTTATACTTTAAAGGTATCATTACAATAATAGATACTTCCTTCCACAGTTTTGTAAAAACAAATAGTTTATATTCATACATTGCTACCATACATTCATACATTACCAATATTTCTAGGGTTGTTTTCATAGTAGTTTCAATAATTTGCAGTAACTGAACCTAGACAAAGGACATGTATTTGTAATCAGACCTCATATTTCATCTTTGCAATTAGGAGCAGCCTTTTTCATTTTGATTCATTATATACTCTCTTCATTGGTTTCAAAACTTGGCAATAGGAGGTGTAGAGTGGATTAAATATGTTATCTTAATCAGAGGTGTACACACACACACAGGAGGCACATACACATACTCAGATGTGCAGACACACATACTCAGAGGCACACACACACACATACTCAAAGGCACACACACACACATACTCAGAGGCACACACACACACACATGCTCAGAGGCACACACACACACACATGCTCAGAGGCACACACACACACACACACACACACACACACACACACACACACACACACACACACACACACACACACACACACACACACACACACACACACACACACACACACATGCTCAGAGGCACACACACACACACACACACATGCTCAGAGGCACACACACACACACACACACACATGCAGAGGCACACACACAGATGCAGACACACACACAAACACACACATACTCAGAGGCACACACTACACTCAAAGATGCACACGTGATGCACACGTACACTCAGAGATGCACACGTGCACTCAGAGATGCACACGTGCACTCAGAGATGCACACGTGCACTCAGAGATGCACACGTGCACTCAGAGATGCACACGTACCCTCAGAGATGCACACGTACCCTCAGAGATGCACACGTACCCTCAGAGATGCACACGTACCCTCAGAGATGCACACGTACCCTCAGAGATGCACACGTACCCTCAGAGATGCACACGTACCCTCAGAGGTGTACACCTTCCCACCTGTCTAACGTCCTACCTTCTTACATTCCTACATTCCTCCCAACCTACTGCCTTCCCACCCTCTGCTGCCCTACTTCCCCTTCCAACCTCGCTACCTCGTTTTCTATCTTCCCACCTGTCTAACTTTCTACTTTCTTACATTACTACCTTCCTTTTTATGTATTTATCTACCTGTTTACCTTCCAACCTATGCATGTGTATGTGTCATTACAGAAAGACAGCAGTAAGGGAAAATAATACAGATTAAATAGAAAGGGAATAAGAGAAGTGAACTCGCCAAAATCTAGTTTTGAGATAAATGGGTTTAAAGTTTGCCTTTCGCCTTAATGAATTTTACGCTATATTCATAACCTTAATTGTCAGTCATTGATAGGCAAATTTAGGCACCATTTCTTAACATAAGATAGAGCAGATTTCATAGAAAATGGGTGCAAGAATTGCATTTTTGCTAGGGTCGTGAGTTTACCTCTCCAATTCTCAGCACATCATATATTATTTTGATTGCAGGTATGTAAAAAGGTTTGATGGTCAGGGCCTCTTATTTAATCATGTAGGAATTCTAACTCCTGCTTATACTTCAACTGAATTTGTAATTCATCATCTTAAGTAGGAAGTTCTGGCCCATGTGCATTCATAGGTGTGTATATGTTAAAAGAACCCTTTTTTGTACATGGTTTTAGCAGGAGATTGATTTTGGTTTTGGTTTTCAGATGGCCCGGTACAGCCATGTTGGAAGGCCTTGGTGGGGAAGAGGATGATGAAGACCAAGATACCATCAAGGAAGCATTTTTGGAAACCTCTCCTTACCTGCTGGCACTCACCATGGCTGTGTCACTCTTGCACTCCGTGTTTGAGTTCCTCGCCTTCAAGAATGGTATGTGATGTGAACAGTGATGTGTTTGACAATATTGTTAGGAATATGGAGAATATATTTTCTGTGACAGAATTGTCAATTATAGTGCAAAGGAATGAAAAAGATAAGGAGCGTTTGGTTTGGTAGATGAAGTGTTGATGCCAGTAGAACTTTAGTAAATGACTCAGAAAATGATAGAAGCCATTGACAAATATTTTGGAATGATGGTTTTATGTAGTATGCATTTGCAAATCTGAAAACTAAATTATAGAAGCTGCCTAAATTCCTAGAGCAATAGATCCATGATTGCAAAGATTTAAGCAGCAGCATAAAAGCATCAAAATTATAGTATATTAAAATAGTAGCTAAAGTACAACAGCAGAAGGCACATTTTCCTTCAGTCTAGAATGTTATCATATTTAATAACAAAAGGCAAATGAAACAGGCGCAATTTTTTCATGAAAGTGGAAAGAAGTATATAAAAAAATGAATATTATAATATATTACATTAATATTTGTCATGGGTAAGTAATAAGATAAAAGAATAAAAAAGACTAAATTATCAAGTGATATTTTTCTTTCTTTCTTTTTTTTTATTCATAAGCCATAAGTATTGATAAAATAATTGCTTTTCCTGTTAGAATGAGGTTCTTTGACTTTTGCAACTTTTGATATACTTTTTTTCCAGATATTCAGTTTTGGAACAATCGTCAGAGTCTTGAAGGCTTGTCAGTTCGCTCTGTGTTCTTCAACGTGTTCCAGTCTGTTGTGGTCCTCCTGTATGTGCTTGACAACGAGACCAACTTTGTTATTAAGGTCTCGTGCTTTGTAGGGCTTGGCATTGAGCTCTGGAAGATCACAAAGGTAAGTGGAAATTTTAGTTTAATCATCGATTTGTTATAAATGAAATTACATGCATTTTTTCATTTAGTATGACAGAGAAATTCAAAGAAAGAATTAGTTTGGGATTTATTTCTGAGTCTGCAGTTTTAGAAATTCAGATTTCATTAAGTCTGATTGTTATTAGGGTTAGCTTATATAAATGATTTTTTCCTCCAAAGAAACAACCCACGCTTGTGTTAGATATTATTCAAGAATAGTGTGCTGTGCTGGCGCAGTGGTAAGGTGCTGGTCTAGCAATCTTGCGGACCTGCGTTCAATTCCATGCCCGGCCAGTGAGTGGTAACCCCGGCCATTCCTTGCACACGGGGAGATTTGGGCAAAATAAAACACAGTATGTCACAGCAAAGAATATCCATTGTAACAAATGGAATTAAAACTAAATCTTTAAATCTAAAATCTTAGTCAGGCTCAGCTTTTAGTAGATTAGTTTATCATGTCATTTATTTTTTAACATTAATATTAGCATTATTTAGTAGTCACCCATTGTTAACTTCTTTTTTCTTATTTTACAGGTAACAAATGTCTCTGTCAATAGGGAGAAACGGATTATGGGTATCCCTACACTGAAATTCACAGACAAGGGAACATATGTGGACTCCAATACAAAGGCCTATGATGAAATGGCCTACAGATATCTGTCAGTAGTACTGTTCCCTCTGTTGGGAGGCTACTGTGTTTATTCTCTCATCTACCAGGAGCATAAAGGATGGTATTCCTTTGTTCTGTCAATGCTTTATGGCTTCCTTCTAACCTTTGGTAAGTACTGTACTGGATATTTTATCTGTAAATATTTTCACACTAAAAGTAGCATTGTGAATGGTTAACTTGAGCTGATTAGCCTGTCAGGATTTTTTGAAAGACTAAGGTCAAACATTGTAAACTATGAAGTGCATATCACAAGAGATGATGACAAAAAGTGAAAAGATTTAGGCAGAGCAAAACACTTGAAATAAGAGTCAAGTTATGAGCCAAGAGATAAATTCATGTAGTCTCAGGTAAGACAAAAAAAGCAAAAATAAACTTCAGTATGTGAATAATCTGAAAACTTTCAAGATAGTGCATCACAGAGTTATGTTTAAAGTGAAGAGGTTTTCAATCTAATGTCTACAGTCTACATACAATTTTCATTATAGCATGTGGTGATCTTTATCACATTGGAGTTTGCAATTGTGTATACAACAAGGCTGGCAGAAAGAGGCTTACATTTTATTATTATTATTATTATTATTATTATTATTAGAATTATTATTATCATCATCATCATCAATCAGTACCAGAATTGGAATTTTGAGGAGCTGTAATGATGTTATCTACCAAAACAAAACTTGTAAACATAGTAAAGGCAGATGAATATTATTTTTCATTTGGTATTTAAATTGATATTTGTGTAGAATGTACAAAGAGAAAACTTCCTTGTGATAAATAACCCCTTAAAACCAAATACCCACAGATAGTTTAAAAATTGACAGCCTGGCTTCATCCTTTTCATGGGAATGCATTTTTTTATCTGTACATGCCTCTTTGCAAAATCAGAATATTTGCGGACAGAGTTTCTTGATTAAAGGTATAGAGAAAGATGCTGAAATACTTCATTGAAACAAGACTGTGACACTTCTTGACAATTGCTAGGCAGACCAAATCAGTCAAAACTTGACCATATGGAGTTCTGGTTGATCTTTATCCCTCCTTCCACTCCACTCTTTATAATGTATCATTTTATTACTGTGAATAATTTTGAATTGATTTTATGACATTAAATTTGATTGAGTTTTGATGAATTTTCATAACTGTCTTATCTAGTTGGTTATCTTTCACACATGCACTTAATCTGGTTTGCCTTCAACCAGGTTTCATCATGATGACTCCACAACTGTTCATCAACTACAAGCTGAAGTCTGTAGCTCACCTGCCATGGAGGATGCTCACATACAAAGCTCTCAACACCTTCATAGATGACATTTTTGCATTTGTTATTAAGATGCCCACCATGTATAGGTTGGGCTGCCTTAGGGATGATGTGATCTTCTTTATCTTCTTGTATCAGGTATGTTCCTCACATTTTCTTAGTTTAGGATAAATAAAGATCATCGTTAGAAAATTCAAGTTATTGCTTTTATTGTTGCTTTCATTATTTGTATCAGTGTCATTGTCATCAGCAGGGATCATCAGTAATCATCATTATTAATCATCATTATCATTATTATCGACCCCTTTGATCTGGATGACATTACAGTCCTGTCATGGAAAATCTGGGACGGGGGCCGGGTGATGTGAACATGCCGTCAGCGGGTAAAATGGCCATGGGCCAGGTGATGTGAAATTGCTGTCATGAGTGAAGGCCAAGGTGATGGAAAAGACTCACCATGAATGTGCAAACTACTTAGAGTGTGATTTGACTCATTTGATGCTTAAAAGGGAGCTTTACCATTATTCTCATAAATAAACGAACATGGAAGCCATGACTTGAAGAGCGCCGGCTCGAGGGAGGATGCCATTTCCATGCTGCGCACCATATTCCTGGCTGCTGGGAATGGGGGCAAAGGTCATATTACGGAAAATTGAAAATTATGAAAAATAAGATATGACAGATAAATAAATCTTTCATATTTCTTTTTACTTGCACCGAGTTATTTACTACAGAGAGAGATGATATGGAGTCTGTGCAAGGATAATAAGCAATTTCCATCTGGATAACACAAATCAAGATAAATTCAGACATTGGAAAATAGCAAAAAAAAGTAAAATAAAATAAAAAAATAAATAAATAGATAAACAAAATAACTTTGCAAAGGGGAGGCACAGAGTCTTGTTACTGCCCATAGGTGTTCACATGGGCCCAGCGTACGTGCTGCACATCTGGGATGTTGGCTACCTACATAACCCAATGCCCATATTTTCAGCACTGTGATTTCCATTACACAACCAGATCCAATGAGCAATGAGTTAACCATCATTATCATCATCATTTTATATACATATGCATACATACACATTTAGATATATATTTGTATGTATGTTTATATGTATTTATGTATGCCGTTGTGGATGAGGTTGTAGTTGAAGATGAAGTATTTACCTTTATCGATAATTGTTATTTTGTGAAGAATATGAGAGCTCGTTTGGTAGATGTCATGCTGTCATTAGGGAAAGTTCAGAATTGATGCAAGAGTTTTTTGAATTTCCATTTGTTTATAATTGGGGAAACTCATCTTGTGACAAGGAGTGACAGACCTAGAGTTTCCAAGTTCCCTCCTGACCATTAGCATTTTAGGTAGATAGATTAATTTCCTATTACCCATTTTGTAAACAGTCTTCCAATGTTTCTTGATTTTTAATAAAAGAAAAACTTTTTCCTCAGCGTTACATCTATCGAGTTGATCCTACAAGAGTTAATGAGTTTGGCTTCTCACAAGACATGGAGAAGGAGGTTAAGGATAAAAAAGTAGAAGCACTTGGCAATGGATCAACGGCTGCTGAAGGCGAACCACCCAAATCTTTAGAAGACAAGAAGAAAGATTAAGGCATTTTACCTCAGTATTTTCATATATATGTATTTAATCTTACTGAGATGTACAAGATGTATGTAGCAGATGATTTCTGGTACAAAGCATATATTTGCGTATGCAGAAGCTTTTCCATATATAGGGAGCCATTTCTTTATTTTTAGTCTTATGTCTGTATTATTAGTGGACTACTCATTTTTTTTGTAGGTTGCTTTTAGTATAATGTATGTTATTTTGTATTGATTCTCCTGTTTACACTCTTTTTTTAGGGAAAAAGATATAATTTTCACTGAAAGTCTGTTAGGTTCACTCCAACAGGTCATATATCTAGTCCATCTGATGTTTGATGCTTGGCTGATCTGATGAAATGATGTAGAGCATAATTTAAACCATGGCAGTCCAACTTAGGTATGAATAATGTTGTAACTTTCTTTGCGTAAAGGAATGGATTCACCCCTGAAACTTGTAAGGCCCAATCAGGAATTAGCTATAGAAGAGGTGTATGGAAACTCGGCAGTGAGGTTTCAGTTCTCTTACTTTTGTGATTTTTGAGTTGGAAGGAGTATAAGTTTTTTAAAGTCAACAAAAAATGTCAAAATGTTTTTGGTTAAATTTTAATTGAGCAGAACATCTTGAAGTTTAATGTTTTGATGTGTTTCTGATGATTCAAGGTACTTTTACCTTTGATTTATTGTTTTTTATTTTTATTTTTTTCCAGCTCTAACCTGTAGTTTTACACCCAGTCATTGTCTTGAGGCATGCCATATAGTTGCAAAAAAAATGTATTGTTTATTTATGGAATAGTCTTTTTGTAATGTTATTTTTTTCTTTTTGGCAACACTGACCCCTTATTTTATTGTGGGATTCCACAAAAACAATAAATAAGGTCACTGCTGATTTTCTGTGAGGGCCTGTTTCAAACCTGAAAATTTTGATAATTCATCAGTGGTTGGCCATTGATAGGTTATGATTGGTTTTCAATTTGGGCATGACAGAATTATCCAATATTAAGTAATACCTTTATTTTTTTGCATATTTCCACTTGCATGTGTATAGTTATTCATTAAACTAACTTTGGAAGGAGAAGGAATTGGTAATATTGTTTTTTATTGTCTGTCGAGGGGGTTATTGTCTTTGAGTAAGTTATGGATGTGTTAATAAGACAAAAACTTTTTTTTCTTTACTTTTTTTTCCTTTTTCTTTCTTTAGAGATCATTATTTTGCATTATGTATGGATGGCCAGCCATGGTACTTACAAAAATGTTCTTACTCATCTTATATGGTGAACCAGTAATCCAAAGAAAATAATTTCACTGTAAATGAGTGCTTTATTCAGTGAATCAATTATTCCAAAAAAAGTTACATGATTGCAAATTAGTATTTTATTCTGTGTCTGCTATACAGATAGTTCAAGAACAAAAAAAGTGTAATTTTGATACCCAAAGCATATTTGAGAGTTTATCTGTATGCTGATGGGATATTTAGCATAGAATATAAGAACATAAGAACTGTGAATGTTTGGGTAAAAAGTGGCTTGCATAGTGGATTATTTGTGAATGTGCTGATGTGATTACCATCTATTACTGTGAGAGTCAGGTTTAACTTAAGTATTTGAAATGCTTGTATATTTCAGCTCATAGCCATTGTAAAATTTATGTAAATTTAGATTGCTCTATTTTATAACAGATATAAAGCATGTATATCAGTGATAATTGTGTTAATATATTTATTTGGTTATGCCACAAAACATATTCATATGGCTCATTGTTTTAATAACATGTAAAGTATGTCATAGTTTGACATAAATTATTGTAATAATAAAAAAACATATTATCACACCAATGCAAATGTGACCATAAAGAAAGCGTAACGTCTTTCAGATTTCCTTGATTATTATTGATCCTCATTTTATTAGTTTTCAATATGAAATGATATCTATATCTGTGTTTACGTGATAATTGGGGAGGGTAAATGTAAAGGAAAAAACTGTGATACTGAATATCGTTGAATCACATTGTTTATCTCCAAATTAAGAGAAAAAAATAAATAAGAAGTTATTGGAGTAAAATATTTTATATGGTCATTGTCATCATTCAAGTCAATCTGAATCTAGACTAAGTACACATACTTGACAATCTTGTATTTGATCATCTATGTTAATGACTCGAAGCAGTCCCATATGGCCTAGAACATTAAACATAGAGTATTCTACTGCTTAGAAATGAAGATTTGATTTTTTATATGAAGTAGGTCATTTAACACTGATTTTTAAAATCTGATGGCATGTTAATAAAAAATTTACATGCAAAGCATGTGAAGGTCTTTAGGACAACTTCCGTTCAGAAAAAAATTGATTCTTAAAACCTTAATATTTTGGCATGACTGAAATAGCTGCAACTCATAACTGAAACACAAATTACCTGGTACTATCCCTGAATGAAAAAAAAAAAATTCAAATTCCTTTGATGAAGTAAGGATCACGAGTAATCATCTATTGCTATTTTGAGGGGTAATTCTAATTATGTACTATGGATGTTCAGGATTTAAAATATTTGTTGGTGAATATGAAAATCTGTTTTTATTATTTCAGACAGATGGAAGTATTAAACTTTAATTTAAAAGTACATAAAGATGGTGAATAGCAGTGTTTTTCCTTTTTTTTTTCTTAATAGTTTGTCACATGTAAGTGGAAATGTCAGTTTTGAAATCCAAAATTGATAATTGTTAATGTGGGATTGATATTTAATGATTGTGTTAACAATTATTGTTTAATCAGTGACAAGGCAATTTCCTAATGGTAATGATATTTAAAAGATGTAATTTTTGATAACTTGTGTATGTGATTCAGATGTTTAAAGCATCAAATACAGTTATGTAAGTGAATTTACAAAATTATTAGAGGACTTGAAGCTGCCTAGGAAAAGCAGCAGATAAGGAACTTTAATAAGACAATAGAAATCAGTTGGCATAATAAAATGGTAGAAATCAGTTGGGAGTTGAGGATGATTTTGACTGTAGCTAAATGTTTGCTAGATTCTGGCAAATTATTTTTTTATGCGAATTTCATAAGCCATAGAGAATTAACAGGAAGTAAATAAATTATCTAGATTATATTGAATTAAGGGTATTTTCATACCCTAACTCACTGAGAGCTGTAAAGCATTATGCTTTGATTGCTAACACTTGATGGAATCTACTAAATTGCCTTTCATACTACTACTGGGTGGCTATTATCCTGTTTTATGCTCTGTTAAGCTGCCACTGATGACCATACATGTTGATGTGGCAGATAATCCTTGATAATAAATCTTGGTTAACTTGTGGAAAGATGTTTGAATATGTTTTACTATATAATGCAGACATGGGGACAGTGAGTGAGTGAGATTTGTTTCATTCCCTCTTAATGTGATGTAAAAATATTCTGTTCTGATATTTAGTAAATCTGAATGGAATTTTGTTATGCAAAGTGGATGTTGTAGGGTATAGAGTCGGTTGAGTTTATATAAGGTTTATACGACTCAAGAGACTTAACCGGTTTTTTAGTTTTGCTGGAGATCAAGTGGATCTAGGGATTGCAGGAAGATGTATGCTGATCTCTCCTTTAAATAAAGGGCCCAGTTTCATAGGATTTTGTTATAAACTTTAAGTGCTGTACTCATTGTAGTTTGCAATAAAAAATTGTAGTATTACTAGTATGATTATTTATATATATAATGTATGATAGGATGTCAACATGTCATTATTGTAAACAATATATTCCTTAATGGTGTATTTACCATACAGCTGCCTTTTATTTTTACTTGCCATTTACTTCGATATCACAATAGATGCACTAGATAAGTAATAGAAATCACTTGTAAAATGATGCAAGTAGAATGTTGCATCTGGAAAACAAAGCTCATTGAAATACAAGGATGTTCCAAAGGTCAAGGACTGTTTCCTGTGAGATTCACTTACCTATTTTTAAGTGAGTGAGTGAGAGAGTAAGAGTATATGTGTGAGTGAGTGAGTCGGTCAGTTGCTTCTGTGCGTTCTTGTACACAAGGTCAACAAAGTCAAAGTACAAGCCTAGACCTTGATAAAGACCTTAGCTACACACACTAGCTCGTTGCCGGTGTGGAAGAACCCTGGGAGACTGTAAAAAGAAAAGTACTAATTTCGAAAGATAACGTTCGCAAAAATATTTAATTAGAAAAAAAAATTCTTGTCAAAATAGCATTCACTCCTTTCGTGCCCGACGGGAATATCTTGTCCCACCCTATTCAATCGGGCACAAAATCTGAAACGAGCCTGTTGGAACATTTATGATCCTTCTGGCCAACGAAATTGTGACATTTGGCAGCTCGCGCCTCCCTTGAACGAGACGGGACCGAGGAAACGTAACGGCGTGATAATCAGGCTCAAAATTTCTTCCAACTTCTGACCTTCACTACTCCATTTTGGTACCAATCATTTCAAGTGTGAGGAAATATTGATTTATTAGTCTAGATCAATATACATGAAAATGAATTTTAAAATCTCATTAGTAAAACAGAACTATACAAAAAAAAAGTGTATGGGACTGATTGTGCCCCGTCAGCGGAAACTTGCGATATTGAATAATTTTATGCAACAAATATAAATGAATTACAATAACTATTGTGACTATTTTACGTGCCTACTTTTATAGACAAGTCTGCGCGTGAATGTCTGTGTCGGAAGGTGTATATGTGTGTGTGTGTGTGTGTGTGTGTGTGTGTGTGTGTGTGTGTGTGTGTGTGTGTGTGTGAGCATGTTTGTTGCGTATGTGGGTGTGGGTGTCGGCGTGCGTTTGCGTGCATGCATGTAGGTGTGAGCATGCGTGTACGTACATACATGAGGGTGTGGGCAAGGTCTATGTAAGTACTTATGTAGACCTTGGGTGTGGGTATGGTCATACGTGTGCGTGCGTATGTGTGGGTGTGGGCAAGCTTGCTATGAACGTATACCCACTAATCTGAACACTAGCCCATTACATTACATTTTACTTTCCTTACGCACTTCCAGTATATCTATCGAACTATGACAGAAATATAAAGAAATTGGTTTTAGGGGGAGATATAGTTTGCAGTTTATAGAAATATAAATTGCACTTTGATGATTAATTCTTTTCAATTCCTTTGCTGGAGATCTTGCACGGTCAGAATTTACTTGCATGTGCTACAAGAAGGTGAACCAGAAAGTATTTTCCTTCTTTAGCTAAAGATAAGTAACTAAAGACGGGCGACTTTGATTTTGGATCAACTCCTTTTGGCATTCATGTTTGTGAGTGGATGGACCGTAAGCCTGTAAATCTGATTTCTAATTACCATGAAGTTGAGATAAAAATAGTGCAAAGGAAGAAAAAAGACGAACGCAAGATTTTTGTTACGTATCTCAAATTAGTCAAGGACTATAATAACCATATGGGAGGTGTTGATCAAGGTCTATATAAGTACTTACATAGACTATGGTGTTGATCAGCATGATATGCTTAGACAATTTTTTGGGATAAATAGCAAGGCGATGAAATGGTGGTACAGTATATTTTTGGTCTAACTGACATGGTTGTTGTCAATGCATATGTTCTCTACAAAGAAGACATAACAGAAAAGTTAAAGATGCTGGAATTTCGACGTGTTAGCTCAAGTTCTAACACTAACACAAAGAAAAGAACGTCTTTCCCCAGGTCCTGTAAACCGGCGCAGGTACTCGATCTGTGCCAGCGTCAGTGAGGCTAAACAACAGATATTCACTGGCTTCACTTTCTAGAAAGAGGAGCAAGATGTGAAGTTTGTTTTAAGTATTGGATCGAATCAAGACCCATGACAATATGACAATATGTGGTGTTTATCTTTGCTGCAATTCGATAAGAAACTTTCTTGAATTTCATATTTAGTAACAAGAAACTAGAATATGAATTGCACACTTGTGTAATTCATATCACATATATGTAATTCATATCATGTGATCACAATCACAAGATTGTGATCAAGGTATTTTCATATGTTAAAAATGTTTCTTTGTGTTTATATTTCGTGATAATACCGAGATAAATTTGCTTTAATTTGAGGTACCATGATGGTAAGAATAAGAAGTAGTCATTGAAAAATAATAAAATGAAGAATTTTGTTTTTAAAAGCAAAAATATGAATACTGTTTTGAGTGCATTAATATTCAAATAAGGGCAATGTATAACCTCCAGATCCTGACGGCCCATAAATGTCCCATGTTGAGGAACACTTAGACATATTGTTTCTATTTTTTTCACAATCTGAATGTAATAAGTACCAAACAAAAATCAATATATGTAAATTTGACAAAGAAATATTCAAATTCCTTCACAATTCTGGCACAAAAAGATTAAAACTAAACAATTTGACTCTTTAACAGATTATAGCTAAAACAAAATCAGAAAAAGTGAAAGCCTTCCCGCCACAAACGAATTCACCAAGAGCCATAATAATGCGAGGAAATGAACATCATGCTTTAAGACATTTCTGCCTACGGATTTATCAATAGTATTTCAACATCCAATTTTCAGCAAATGCTACGGGTCAATGTGCATCAATGAGATTTATGAGAAAAAATATGTATATATTCAGTTTTACATTATTGTGCATTATATATTAAAGAAAAATAGACATTAAAAGGTCTGACCACGCACATTAAGCCGAAGAACCAGAGAATGTCAATCTACCACTGCAAAAAGTACATTCCTGAAACGCGACTGTACCAGGTGCATGTCAACAAGCACTACAATAGAAGACCGCTGGCGGGCACGCACCCATGAGAAAAAAACGATTGAACCGTTTTTATATATCATAAGTTAACTTGTATGATTATATACGTCGATCTTCGATTCCTAGGTGCATGGGTTAAAGTGCCGTAAATAAAACCAATAGAGAAAGAAGAAACATCGGATAAATCCAGGTCGAAGGAAGAAGATAAAACATCACCTGTTGAGCATATATCTTCAAACCAACAGCGGGTTTGACCAAAGGTTAGCTTCTTATATAAACATTGTGTATGTATGTCTCCTTCTCTGTATAAATGCAGGAAGTGCGAAATGCATGTTTTTAAAGGAAATATTGCCTAGTCGACAGTTGCCACCATCTTGCTTCACATGTGTGCAACTATTGCTACTTGAGTATGCATTTCTAAATAAGGAGCAAGTTCTATATACCTGAATAAAATTAGAACATCAACACCTTTAACATCGATTGTAAGCGTGCCAACCATACAATTAAATTTACTTTATTGACAATTTTCATCAAAGATCCATAATGTTTACGAATTAGTGGCTACGAATGGCGAGTCTCCATACTAGGAAAACGAGGTCTACAAAATCGGCCATTGTTACTGAAATAGTTTTTTTTTTTTTAATCAACTGCAGCACACTTTTACCCTGCTTGCTGACGGACGTGGCCAATTCATGTTGTTATTTTAATCCCAGTCATCAGGGACCTACTACCGGCCACCATTTTAAAAATTCTTACGCTTTCTTCCGTTTTCAGTTGCTATGTATGCTCCTCTCAATTGAAACACTCCCGTTTTCCGTCTTGTTAAAGTACTCGAAAATCTATTTCTGCTGAAAAAACAACTTACTGTGGAATCTTTTATTAGTTTATTATTTGGATTATAGTCATGTTCCATAAAGTTGAATTTCTTCAGGAGTTAATTCTAAAATTTTAGTCGAAATGATTCTAATAGTTTTTCTCTGCGCTTTGTAGCTGGCAACCAACCATTTTGAAAGCGACGGTTATCGAATAAATCAGAAAAACAATCCCACACTTATGGTTAAGGAATTTACATATGAAGTTTATGCTATTCATATAACTATCATATCAAATTGTT